TGTGTGTGTGTGTTCTCCACTTCTGATGTACAAGATGAGATAAAATTCCTTATTTTGCTAACGCTGGGAGTGTAGCACGGATGGATTCGGATTTGACCGGGCACCAGCAGGGAAAGCATCTGCAGTCTCAGTAATTGATACTCTCCGCACCAACCCTTCCACCAGCAGCCATAGCTGTTCCCGGCTTCCTCCTAGTAGGCGTTTCCTGCTTGTGTTCCCGAGAGACAGAGGTGCCAGCAGGCAGTATGACTGCTATGTTTCAAGAGGACTGGATTTATTCGTTTTACTTTTAAAGCAAGGAAACTCAGCTGAAGGAGCGCACTAAACCATTTTTCCCCTTTCTGTCTCTAAGCTACTCGGTCTCATGGGATCCCACTTTCTGTTTACTAGATGCCACCCTTGGAGGACCTCATTCCAAATGCCTCCAATCTTCCATTACACTCTCCCTACACTGACAATCTTTCTAACATTCCTTTCCTCTCAAGTTAGGCCGCTTCCCATTCTCAGTGCACATCTGCTCTTCCTGTGCTAGTTGACACATGAGGCCAGTTAAAACAGTCAGGGCCTGAGAAACATCTAGTAAAAGCTGATTAATGACAGCAAGTTCAGACTGTTGAGCTGGACAACCAGGGTGGTTATTATCTTTTTTTTGTGGAGCATGTGGAATAGGAAACAAATGCTCCATGTCTTTTTGAAGAGGCATCTGGAGCCAGGCAGTAGTGACAGATCTTTAATCCCAGCACTCAGGAGGCAGAGGCAGAGGCAGGCAGATCTCTGGGAGTTGGGTGCCAGCCTGGTCTACAGAGTGTGTTCCAGAACAGAGCTTCATAGTGAGACCCTGTTTAAAGAAAAGAAAAGAAAGGGAAAGAAAAGAAAAGAAAAGGAAAGAAAAGAAAAGAAGAGAAAAGAAACCAATGAAACCAAACCCCTGGGGCAGCCTAGACTTAGCTCATGTTGCAGTAGAGTCCCCCCTGCCCAGACATTCCCTGGAACTCAGGTGTTGCACCAAGCTGCTCCAAGCTTGGTCAGACCAGGGTGGTAGGAAGGGCAGCAGGGCAGCTGGGCCAGAGGGCAAGGCCCAAATGAGCTGCTGAGGGAGTCCATGAGGGTCCACCCTGCTAAGACCTGCCAAGATCTGTCCTGGCAGAAGGTTTTCTTCTCTGTTTCTCTCTCTTAAATAATCCTCCTGAGAGGATGCAAGCAATACATTATTAATGTGCTCTAGCTTGCAAAATAGTCGACAGAAATTCCACTTCCCTTTAGTTCTCACGTGCTTCCAGTATTAACATCAATAGTTACTTGGTCAGGAAACCAAGGATTAAATTTTAGTTACCTGTACAAAGTTGCAGAGTTCTTACTCTTAATAGTTTTCCTCTGGGTCTCTTTATTTATTTAGTTAATGATTCATTTACTTTTATTTTTTCTATGCATTATTGTTTTGCTTGCATGTATGCCTGTGTGAAGGTGTTGAGTTCCTTGGAACTGGAGTTACAGACAGTTGTGAGCTGCCATGTGGGTTTTGGGAATTGAACCCACGTCCTCTGGAAGGGCAGCCGGTGCTCTTCAATGCTGACCCATCTCTCCAGGCCTCTCCTCCCAGTCTTAACAAATGCTTCAATAATTGTATTAAGTTCTTTGTCTCAGAGGATTGACTAACTGGAACCACGATTATTACCACTGTCTCACTTAAGGTCGTGAATTTTTCTGCTTCTATTTAAAGAAAAATTTTCTTACCTTCTCTGATGGTCAAGCCCCTCACCTCCTACTGGGTACTGATTGTGGGGGTCTTTGCAAACACCAGGGTCCACAGAGTGTTGATATGAGTGAGGCAAGAAGGAAATCTGGCTCAACACAACTCAGTAGCAGGTGTTGGTTCAAATCCCAGGCAGTTTATTTTAGGCAAATTTAAGTACAGTACAATTTTGGAAAAAGTTTCCTTGTGACAACGAACTCAATCCCATGTGCTCGATAAAGCTTAAGGCACCACTACATCCATTGACCTCTTCCACAAAGATGGGCTCCATAGATTGGGAAAAAATGCTCAAGATAAAAGTCGAGGGAGGAGCCGTGCGGTGGTGGCACACACCTTTAATCTCAGCACCCGGGAGGCAGAGGCAGGCGGATCTCCCTCCGTGAGTTTGAGACCAGCCTGGTCTACAAAGCAAGTTCTAGGACAGCCAGGGCTGTTACACAGAGAACCCCTGTCTAAAAAAGGGGGAAAAAAAGTCTAGGGAGGAAGGGTCTTGGATAAATATTATAGTCTAGGGGAATCAGGTGTAGCCTGGCCCTCCAGACAGCACAGGTCACAAGGCTATGAACTTTATCCAGTCCCAGCCTTCAGGGCAGAAAACAGGTTATAAACCTCTTCTGTTGAACAGACAAGCTGTGTTTAATAATCCTGGTTTCCTTAGTGTCCTCTACAACTATCCATCTCAACTGAGCTGCGGGGGTTAAATACCACAGGAAATCATAGGGTGCACACATTAAAGCCCCACTCCATGCCTGAGAAAGCTTTTTTCTTTCCTTCCTTTCTTCTTTCCTTCCTTTCCCTCCTTCCCTCCCTCTCTTCCTTCTTTTTGTTTTGTTTTTCAAGACAGAGTTTAACAGTCCTGGTTGTCCTGGAACTTACTCTGTAGATCAGGCTGTCCTAGAATTCAGAGATCTATCTGCCTCTGCCTCCCAAGTGCTGGGATTAAAGGTGTGCACCACCACCACACGGCGGGGTGAGAAAGCTTTTCTAATAAAATAAAGTGCTACATACCTATCTAAGGGAGAAAGGAAGCCCACTAATCTCGGGAGATAGGACAGGGATATCCTCTTTTTGGAAGAGGGATATTCAACTGTGGCTTCCTCCATGGGCAGAAGCTGTCAGGCAGCTGTGGGGGTGGGGTGGGCGTGAGTACAGCCATGCCAGCAAAAGCAACAGGACGTGCAGACCAAGGAAATGAGAAAGGCACAGGGAGAACCTAAGGCTTTAGCCCAAGCCAAGTCTCAGAACTAATACTATTGAGTGGGAGGGGGCACTGGGTTTACTAACAAAACAGCTAATGCTACCGAGTGCTTACTGTATCGAGCTGGGGAAGATGTCCTGCAAATGACTCAAAGCACTGCTCAGCACACAGTAACTTCAGTAACTGAACCGTCATCATTGCCTTCTCCGGATCCGGGAAACCTAGCTCAGATGTCAAGAATCACGAAAATTTTTCATCTGAGGGAAATTAAGTTATGCGGGGCG